CACACCGCAAGCTACTGTTGAGATTTGTGAGGATCTCGTTATGTACAAATCACGAACTCAATAGCAAACGTAAACCTATGCACATCGGATCTAAAGGTTTGACGTAGAAAACTTACGGCTTAAAATTTATGGCGATCTGGCTCATCTTCAAACGGATTGACCGGAATGAACACACGAACACATCAGGAACACGAACAAGTAGCAGGATCGGAGCAGTCGTGTCGCGGGGTCATGTGGTCGGGCAGTCGGGGTTGTCGTGGGTCGCGACTTGGTGTCGGGCTGGTCTCGCCGGTGGGGTCGGAACGTCGCGGCGATCCTCGACTGGCGTCGCGGTGGGTCCGACTGGCTGAGGTCGGCAGTCTGTCGGCTTCGGATGATCACGGGATTGATGAATATATGTATCTCAATAAACCACGAGATCTTCTACTGTATGTTTCAAGCACCATTCTTCAACTTGTACCAGTGGAAGAACAAGAAGAAGATAAAATTTGAATGAAAACTGTGAGAGAGAGAGAGAGAGAGAGAGAGAGAGAGAGAGGCGTGGGGCGGCCAATTTTATGTATGTGGAATAATGTTCCAACTCTTCTCTTCCCATGAGCTTAATGAGGTATATATAGAGCTACAGTAAGGACCCTTAGGAGATTAGAAATAAGGCTCTTTATTTAATTAAAATACTTGTGGGCCAAACTCATTATTCTAATTAATTAAATAATATTATGAGCCACTAAAATAATATTATTGCACTCCTTTTTACTAGCTCCAATTACAATTGAGACTCCAATAATCTCAAATTATCTCCTCATGTTGAAGATATAATGTCCATTAATTAATTCGATCACTGATAATCAAGAATTAATTAATTTATTATTATTTAACTGAAGCTAGCGCTCGTTCATCAAATTCTTACTATGCTGGAATTTAATTCACCTGCAAGGTTTAACATAATAATCCTTCATGAACTCACTCCGGGGACATCATCAAACTAAACGTACATGGTAGCCGTAAATATCCTAATAGCACATCATACATACAGCAGTATTACCCAAGATAGTGGGTCTATTGGTCCAGTTTACTAAATATCACTCATGTGAATCAAAGTAATAATTAATGTATATATATGTCTATTTCATATCTTACGGGTTAAGACAACGCAGTAATTAACTGAGGCCTAGTTCGTTTACGACGATCAGTATAAAACGAACTGCTCCTCTCTGAGATCCTGTTCAATACATAAATGTACTATTGCAACTAATCAGTCAAAACAAACTATACCGTTGACACTACAACCGTTCATGATGGGGTGTTCATGTCCATCTAGGTTGTGAACCATTATTCTTGTTTCACAAGTAACTGATAGAATGATCTTCGGTTCGCCGATGACGACCCACTCTATCTAAGTGCAAAACAACAGAACGTAGAACTTGTTAATCTGACATGATTCTCATTCATAAAAGGTAAAAATGTAATATCATCCAAAACAAAGCTTTTAGTATATAACACTAACAACTACTACATCGAGCTCCTCGGATGGATCAACTCTTTAATCTGAGTTGGGGATTACCTCGGGTTGGTTCCCTCGAGCTATGCACTTTGTCCAGTCCAACTCAAGCTCTTATGGGTGATATATCACAATATATATTGGGATCAAAGATATTAGTTTTTAAAAAGTTTGTTGTAATTTTTATTTCTTGAAAAATTTTACTTCATATATTAAAACTCTAACATGACACAAAAAAGTTTTAACTCAGTGATAAATGAATTTTGAAGCGGTCCTTAAAATCAGGGAAAAAAGTTTTAACCACCCAAAGTACGACCAATTTTAGAGTTTGCCTTTCAAATTTTTTCGCCTTGCACTTTGCCCCACATTGTAATAGAAACTTACAATTTGCCTCCTTTATTAAAAATTCTAACATGACACAAATTTTTTTTTAACTCAATTAACATAAATTTTGAATTGATCTTTCAATTGATTTAGGGCTTTTGAAGCTCATGGCGAGATGAACAAAATGAGGCATGATTTATCAATTTTTTGAAATTGATACCTCGGTAGTTGATCGACAAAGAAAGTAGGCGCACGTGGGGTAATTTATATATATAAAATAATAAAAAATTAAGTGGACAAAAAAAAAAAGGAGAGTGGAACAAAATAGAAAGCACGAATTCACTAAATACGTTTTCAGTACAAATTCAATTGTAAAACGTATTTAGTGAATACGTTTTACAAATTTTTTTACACAAAACGTATTTTGAAAATACGTTTTACAATAAAAAGACGTATTCACTAAATACGTGTTTTTGATTTTGTTCCACTCCCCTTTGTTTGTGTATTTTTTGTCCAAAACTTTATATTTTTTTTTTCTGGTAAAAAAATCGGCGCACGTGTGTATAAAAATAAACTTTAATTTGACTTTTCTGATGATTAAGATATCTGATTATTTAGTCGGACGTGTCATTTGAAAGCTTGTAGGACCAGTTTTCTTACGAGGTAAATCTTATGAAAATCCAACGGTTCAAATTTTGGTCAGTAGTCAAAGAAATTGACAAATATCTAACTTTTTTTAAGCTACTAACAAAAAATCGACTATTGGATTTTCATGAGATTTACTTCGTTAGAAAACTCATCCTGCAAACTTTCAGCTGAAACCTCTCAATTAAAAATCAGATATCTTGATTATTAGAAAAGTTGAATTGAAGTTTTTTCTATACACACTTGCTTCTACTCTTTGTCGATCTATTACCGAGGTATCAATTTTAAAAAATCAGTAAACTATACCTCATTTTGTCCGTCTTTACTTGGGCTTCAGAAGTCCTAAGAGTTAAAAACTTTTTTTCCATTATGTTAGGATTTTTAATAGAGGAGGCAACTTGCTGCTTTCGATTTCTATGGGAGGCAA